CTAAATGGAGCAGAGGAGGTGGGTGGAGCTATATCAGAACCTAATATGGCGTTTTGGCCTTTTGTCACTTCATTTAACCGTTTTTAAGATTAATTTCAATCATTATTGATCTAATTTTACATTTTTGTGTTCCATTTGTAGGTACCGTCAAGGATCTCAAGTCCTTTTTTGTGGGCAGACTTGACACCTTGTCATCAAATTTACATGAATGAACATTAATGATGTACATGTACTTAAATGTCTATCTCTTTCTCTAGTAATTCTGTAACTCTCATGTGTACTACTTGTGGTGTTTGCAAAGTCTCTCTTCTCAGGGATTTCTGTAACAAAACAGGTTAGATGGCATCATACCTCATTAATATTCATTGACTGCACCCCTTATCAGGAGTACAGATTACATTGAAGGATTACAAATTTTCCTTGACAGCTCCATTCAATGAAGGTGATCTTGCCTGTATTGTACCTGTTGTTAAGCACACTGATTTTAAAGTGAGACAAAACTTCATTTATTACTGCTTTGTACTGTCACTTTTGCTACACAATATATACCGTAGTTTAGGGAATTTATGTGGTAGAAACTTTTGTGTTTTTAAATGATGCTGTTATTTAATTTTACCAAATAAGACTGTGTCATGTATTATTGAATGTGGCATATAATTATGTAGGTGATCTAATTTTTTTGGAATTCTAATCCAGTGAAATTAAAATCACAGTGAAAAATTTTCAGATCGATGGTGTATTATGTCTTTTACATGTATGTGTACTTCAATCTTCAACAATTTCATTGTATTTCTAATTTTCTTTTTATCTTAAATTTTCTTTCCCTCAATCCCCCCAGCCTCTTGAAGCCTCTGGTTTGTATGAGTTGGCTCAGGTTCAGTTGCAGTCTGGTAATATTGAAGTTGCTCTTGACTATCTATCTGAAGCTGTGCAATTGTTTGCTCAAGTCTTTGGGCCACTACATGTCAACATAGCAAACTGTTATAAGTGAGTGGTGTCATTCAAGTACTTATATATTCCATTGTATTATTATATATAGAGTTATTGCACGAATTCATCATGCTCTAGGAGACAGTAAACTAGTAAGTGGTGCATGTAACTACATGTATGTGCATACCATGTACATGTTAATGTATCGACTGGTTGTGTATGTAGTTTAGTTTAAATGACTG